GAGTGCTGATGGATGTGTGGTAGAAAGGAAAATAAGATCTCCTGTTAATAAAAAATAGTACAAGTAAAATTAACGAAATTAATTATGTATTTCCTCTGAATGAGGTTCTCTGCGATACTCCAAGTTATATGAAAGCAGTGGCCTTGTTTGGAGGTCAGGCTCAAGGCTGGGCTGGGCCCATCAATGGTGTGGTGTGCTTATAGTAGAATTTTGTGACTCCACAGATTCAGTTTGTGACTTCAGAAGCCAAAGGATGCTTTGTCATGTAGACGGCCCAGGACTTTCAGTGTGCTGAGTGTCTGTCTGTCCTTATCTTTCCTTCTTTCATAAAAACTTCACCTATTCGTATTTGAACATTTCCTATAGTTAAATTATTTTTCTTAAGATCAGAGTTTTGATGTTATGCTACATGTCTGTTGACTTGCATTTTTAATTTAATTAACACTAACTGTCATTTGATGAGTACTTTTGTGTGTGCAGGCACTGGGCTAACTCACCCTTTTACATGGAAAATTTCACTAAAACACATGGGATAGCCTTAACTAGGCTATCGGTCTAGCCTTAGCTCCTCCATGGATTTGCTTTGTGATTGGAAGATTAATTTTGTGGTACAACTTTTTAAAAAATTGCAGACACATATATTTTCTTATATGCCTTTCTTACATGAAGGCTGGCACACTCTAGATGCTCTTTTGCCCCTTGCTTTTTTCATTGACAATATATCCTGGAAATCAATCCATATCAGTTCATTGAAATTTCCTTCATTCCTTTTTACAGCTGCATAATAATCTATTGTGTGGATGTACCATGGTTTATTCAACCATTTTCCAATATATGGGCATTTTGGTCATTTCTAGTATTTTGCAATTATAATCTTGTGCATTTGTATGTCCGTATTGATGGAGGCATAGCTTTTGGGTAAATTCTTAGAAGTGGGTTGCTAGTTCCCCACAGCCATGCCAAAGGTGTGTTATAATACTGTTTAATTTTTTGCCAGTCTGGAAGGTAAGTAAATAAGAAATGGTATCTCAGTGTAGTTTTAATTCCATCTTATTATAAATGAAGCCGAACGACTATCTTTTCCATCTTTTAATATGATTAAGGACAACTTTTATGTCTTTTTGTGACTTTCTTATTTATGTCTTTTCCCCATTTTTTCTCTCTCAGATTTTTGGCCTTTTTATTCCCTCTAATTTTAAGAGCCCTTTATGTATTAGTGATAATGGCTCTTTATCTGGGATACACTAAATATATCGTACACATTGCCCCCTGGTCTGGCAGTTGTATTTTGGCTTTGTTTATGGTGATGTTGCAATATAATAAAAATATTTATGTAGACAATTTTATTAATCTTTTCTTCTATTGCATCTGGATTTTAAGTCATGGAAAGTCTTTCCTTACACTGAGTTTTTTTTCCCCTTTGGTTTCAGTTATTTGCCTTTATATTCTTGATTCATTCCCATGTATGATGTGTGGTACGGATCCAATTTTGTCTTTTCCCAAATGACTAACCAGCTGTCCCAGCAGCATTTATTAAAATGTCCATGTTTGGCCCGGTGATTTGAGATGGCACCTTTATCATGCATCGATTTCCACATGCACTTGGGTCTCCTTCCGGGCTCTCTTCTATTCCATTGGTCCGCCTGTCTATTCTTGCACCACTGTTTTAGTTACAGAGGATTTATGGCAGTTGTAACGTCTCCTAGGGCAAGTCCCTGTTGCAGCTTTTCCCTTTTAGTGTTTTCCTGGCTATTCTTCAAAAAAATTTTTTTATTGATGCATAGTATTTGCACGTATTTTGTTATATGCATAGAATGAGTAATGATCAAGTCCGGGTCTTTAGGGCATCCGTCACCTTGTATGTTTATCACTTCTATGTGCTGGGAACATTTCAAGTGCTCTCTTCTAGCTATTTGGAAATATAAAACACATTGTTGTAAATATGGTCACCCTACTGTACTATTAAACATTAGAAAACTTATTCCTTCTCTCCAACTGTATGTTTGTATCCATAACCAACTTCTCTTCATCCCTCCATCCCACACCCTTTTCAGCCTCTGGTAACTGTCATTCTCCTCTCTACCTCTGAGAGATCAACTCTTTTAGCGCCCACATATGAGTAAGAACATGTGATGGTTGTCTTTCTGTGCCTGGCTTGTTTTACATAACACAACGACCTCCAATTCCATCCACGTTGCTGTAAATGACAGGATTTCATTCTTTTTTTATGGCTGCATAGTTTTTCATTGTGTGTATATACCATATTTTCTTTATCAATTCATATGCTGATGGACACTGAGTTTGATTCCATATCTTTGCTATTGTGAATAGAGCTGAAATAAACATGGGGTTGCGGGTATCCCTTTGATACACCGATTTCCTTTCCTTTGGATAAATACCCAGTAGTAGGATTGCTGGATCATATGGTCATTTTAATTTTAGTTTTTTGAGAAATCTCCATATTGTTTTCCACAGTGGTTATTCCAATTTACATTCCCACCAACAGTGTATAAGAGTTCCCTTTCTGTGTATCCTTTTTTGTCTTTTTGATAACAGCCATTCTAACTGTGGTACGATGATATCTCACTGTGCCTTTGATTTGCATTTCCCTGATGATTAGTGATGTGGAACATTTTTTCGTGTACCTGTTCGCCATTTGTATATTTCCTCTTGAGAAATGTCTATTCAAGTGCTTTCCCCAATTTGGAATGAAATTCTTTGTTTTTTCTGTTGCATTATTTGAGTTCCTTGTATATTCTGGATATTAGTTCCTTGTTGAATGAATATGTAAATATTTTCATCCATTCAACAGGTTGCCTCTTCACTTTTCTGATTGTTTCCTTTCCTGTGCAGAAGCATTTTAGTTTAATATAGTCCCATTTGTCTATTTTTTGTTGTTGCCTGGACTTTTGAGCTCTGAGCCATAAAATCTTTGCTTAGACCAATGTTCTGAAGCATTTCCCCTGTTTTCTTCTAGTAGCCTTATAGTTTTGGGTTTTATGTTTAAGTCTTTAATTCATTTTGAGTTGATTTTTTTATATGGTGAGAGATAGGGGTCTAGTTTTATTCTTCTGCATATGGATTTCCAGTTTTCCTGACACCATTTATTGAAGAGACTGTCCTTTCCCCAATGTCTTGGCACCTTTTTTAAAAATCAGTTGTCTGTAAATATGTAGATATATTCCTGGATTCTCTAGTCTGTTTCATCTCTGATAAACTTTATGCCCTAGGAAGCAGAAATTGAAAGGTGAAAACGCCTGTTGATTCTAGATTAGATGGAAATTGGTTTTCACCTGGGAATTATCCCATATGCCACAGATGGGTCAGTCAAATGAAATACACTGGATTTAACATGAAAACTATTGAATAACTTAAATTTTAATAGAGGCATGACTATGAATTGTTCAGTGCCTTCAGATTATTATTTTCAACATTAGCCATGTGGAATAGTTGGAGAAATCCTGGTCATTTGGACATTCTGCCTCCCTTAGGCTGTTGTCTGTTCTGTACTAGCTTTGTAAAAGGGTTAGGTGACAGCTGTTGGCTCCCACAGGATGTGCAGGGGGCAATTTTTAGTTTCCTCATTTACAAAATTGGAATAAGTACTATCCTATAGATTGATTGTAAGAATTAAATAAATTGCTATGTTGAAAGTTTCTGTGATCCACCCTAGATTTTATCCTTCATTTATCTTTGAGATGAAAAGCCCACATAAGAGGGAGCTGTTCCACCCTACCTCTTCATAGTAAGTCCAGGTAAGGGCTACAGACAGGGCCTGCCATGACCTACTTACAATGCCCACCTGCCCCACCATGTGTGATTCACAATGGAAACCATACTGTACCTTAACATAAGTGTGAAGATCAGTAAAGATCAGGATTTTCCCATGAGGATTATTTCAATGCTTAAAATACATTAAACATCAAATTTTTCCAGAAATTATTTTCTGGTGCTCTGTCAGTACCCAGAGAATTTTCGGTGTCCCGACTGATTAATTGAGGACCAGTCTCAAGAGCTGAGGTCTTGGGATGGCAGCATTCCAGAGAGAGGGACCTGAGGCCCCTCCCCTCCTTCTTGTGGGAACATTGGAGGTGTTCCCCTGTTACTGGGGACATTCCCCTATTACCTGACAGTCTATCTCCTGCAATTCAAATAAAATTGTTTCCAAGGTTTGATGTGGAGTGTGAATTGGTAGATATTATTAGAACCGAAAAATAAGTAAGAACATTATCTAAAAAATAAGGAAAAGGGATATTTTTTAGATTTCAGTTAAGCTTGATATATGGAAGCCTGGATGGGAAAGCAGAGCTGTAATGAACAGGAGGCCTTAGAGACGGATGGGTGGGGACTTGGTCTGTGGCTTGTTACTCCCCATCTTCAAATTCTAGATTCTCCAGTCCATCAATACGTTGAGTAAAAACATTAGCGATTTAATGACAGCTTTTTTGGGGGGAGGGCACGATTGTATAGATTGATACCACTGGTTCATATTGACTGAAAATGTATCTTAGAATTAAAGAAATATGGTAATACTAATATAATAGTGCCTAGTCTGTTAAAAATGTAATAACAGTAACATGTTACAACAACATGTTGTTGTAACAATTAAATGAGATAGTACTTTGCACAGAGCCAGCACGGCACTGGCTCACAGTAGGTGCTGAATGAATAGCAGCGGTGATGGTAGCACATAGCAGCTCCTCTTGGTGAATGGAGTCTTTAAAATCTTGCTAATCAAATCAAATTCAATATTCACTAAGTACTTACTGGGTACCGACTGTATTTCAGGTACCTAGGCATTATTTATTTTTATGATAATTAATAGTGAATTTTACTTTCCTTACGCTTGGAAGCCACTTGATAATTTGGTGTGGTGGAACTTAATAATACCTATTGGCTCACAAATGTGGGGTCTATTAAAATCAGGGAGTCTATAAAAATCAATGATATTTTTATAGATTTTTTTAGAATAAGTATCCTGATTTTTCTAATGTGATTTTGTTCTTTTTTGCAGAATCTAGTTATCAAAGTGAAGTAAGGTAAGTTTGAAATCATATCTATTTTCTGAAAACAGAACCAAACAACCAAACAACAACAAAAACACATACACAACTGTGGGATTTTAGGATTTATGTTACTCAAAATTAAGTACTGAAAAATAGACCACTCTGGAAAACATGTATGTCCATCATAAACTCAGAGAGCAACGTTCCTTGTGGGGTGAAATAGCTGGGTTGCTGTTGCCTGCCTTTGACTTGCTCTGGCTCACTTAGGGGTTTTCTTACTGTTTGGCATTTGCAAGATTTCCACAAGAGGACACTGTGCACCATGCCTGTCGTCCTTCCTGCACTGAGTTGAAGGTAGGGCTACCGGCAGAGGCCCCGTCGGGATTTCTGGGGCAGCGAAGAACTGGGAGCCCAGCCGGCTGCCTGCCAGGCACATGGAACTGTCCAGGCAGACAAATTAGGCACTTTGTTCAAACAAGCCCTAGCGGCAAGCACTTTCAAGGTAACTATGTCAAGGACTTGCAGCTATATACAATAACCACTTTAAACGTCGGCACTGTTTACGAAGTCATAAATGCACCAAGGGGAGTGGTTTGGTGTGGGTGTTATAATAACCACGGCTTGTTTTCGGTATTTTATTAGCTAATTTAGATTTTTTTTTAAGTGCTGAGATTTTAAAATGCCTTCTGGCTACAGACTGTGAATGAATGTGCATAGCCACCGGGCGACAGATACTATCCATTCCCCCTCTGACCCCTGGTAATGACGAAGCTTTGATTGAGGGCACCACAAAGCAGCAATCTGAAAACAGACCTCCCATGGGGCCTGACTCAGGGCAGAGGAGGGGGAGAGAAAACTGACCCTGATAATTGTTCTGGCTTTTCCGAATGCTGCTACCAGCAGGATCAAAGCCTGCATTCTTTGGTTCACCATTATTGACTGCACCAACATCTTTCATTTCTGTTTCCTGGGGTCTTAGGTGATTTGACACACAGTATGACAATCAACAGCTCTTCAGGATAATGGGTACAGAAAAACAACAACAAAACCAAAAATAGCATGACGAGGTAGTGATGATAGCCAGTGTAGCTATTAGCACTTAATAGACAGCTAATAGCATAATGGTACCTAATGCACATGCTACGTACTGCTCTAAGCTCTGTAGAAGTTTTTATCCTACTTAATTCTCACCATGATTTTATGAGGCTATGTTTCCATTTTGTAAATGAGGAAACTGAGATACAGAGAGATTAAGTAATATTCCCGATATCTCCTGCCTAGACAGTGGGCGGGTCGGAGTGTGACTGGGAAGCCCTGTGTGAGGGCCTGGCCTTTCACCGCGGTGCAGCCCTCACCCTTAGGAAGACGGGGCGGCCCGCTGGCTGGTCACGTCCCACCTGCTTTTTCCTTCCCCTGTGTCCACAGTGCTAACTTGAGCTGCTTGAAGATTTCTTTTGCATTAAAGTAACATATGCATCTTTTCTTATAGAATCAAGGCATGTTTATTGTAGAAAAATACTAAATATAAAGATAGTTTTAAGAAATAGTTTCAAAATCACCCACAGTTCTATTGTGCAGAAGTAATTATCATTACCTAAGTATGTAAGCACTTACATGCACGTGTGTTCACCCACAGATGTGCACACATCTGCATTTCGTAAAATTCGCATCATAATAAACATTATTTTATGGCTTGCTCTTTTCACTTGACACATTCTGAAGATTATTTCTGTTAACAAGTAGTTTCCCACACAGTTTTGTTTCATTTGTTTGATGAAGTTTTTTTTTTGTTTTTTGAGACAGAGTCTCACTTTGTTGCCCTGGGTAGAGTGCCGTGGCATCAGCCTAGCTCACAGCAACCTCAAACTCCTGGGCTCAAGCAGTCCTTCTGCCTCAGCCTCCCGAGTAGCTGGGACTACAGGCATGCACCACCATGCCTGGCTAATTTTTTCTATATATTTTTAGCTGTCCAATTAATTTCTTTCTATTTTTGGTAGAGACGGGGGTCTCGCTCTTGCTCAGGCTGGTCTCGAACTCCTGGGCTCAAACGATCTGCCCGCCTCGGCCTCCCAGAGTGCTAGGATTACAGGCGTGAGCCACCACACCCAGCCTGATGAAGTTTTTTAATTGAAACGTAACTTAAGTACAGAAAAGTGCACAAATCATGGGTGTGTAGCTCGCATAATGTTCACAAAGTGCACAAGTCTGACCTTGACGGCCGAAATTCAGAGCTGGAACATCCTCAGTGTCCCAGAAGCTCCCCAGACCCCCACTCAATTGCTGCCTGCCCCTCGTCCCCAAAGGTGATATTTCTCTGACACCTTTTTCCACATCCCCAGAGATTAGATTCATATAAACTTTACATTAGTGGGATCATAGTGTGTGCGCCTTTTTATATCAGAGACTCAAACATCCGCAGACTTTGGCATCCATGGGGACTTTGGAACCAACCCCTCAAGAATACAAGGGAGACTGTATCTTGTCCTGGAAACTGGGCCAGAGGGCGGGCATGTGCCCAGCTCTAGAGGAGGCTGCCACAGTTCTCCAGAGTAGGTGTATCAGTTCGCACTTCCGCCAGCAGTGCTTGAGAGCTCTCGTCTGTGGTCATTTTCACAGGCGGCGTGGAATTCCATTTTAGAGATGCATCACCATTTATTTTACTAGTCCGATGTTGTTGGGCACCTGGGTTGTTTGCAGTTTTTGCTTTTATAAATAGCTCATGAATTAACATTCTTTCAAGGAAATCTTTGTAGCTATCCTTGATTATTTCCCTAGAATAAATTCTTAGAGGTCAAGTATGAATATTTTTAATTCTTTGGTTATCCATTGCCAAACTTGCTACTCCTGGGAAGCTGCACCAATTTTTGTTTTATTTCAGGAGTTGGCACACTTTTTCTATAGAGGGCAACACAGTAAATATTTTTAGGTTTGCCAGCCACAGGGTCTCTGTCACAACTACTCAACTTTGCAGTTATAACAGCCATTGACCATATGCAAGCAGGTAGGCATGACTGTGTTCCTATAAAACTTTATTTATGAAAACAGGTGGTAAGCTGGATTTGGCCTGAGAGTCATAATTTCTTCCCCCTCTTTATTTAGTCAATGGTTTCTGAGAGTTAAGTACCCACTAGAGAGTGGAGTCCATGTTGTACCTATCGTTAGAAAGTTCTGTTTCTCCCCATGATGGGAATGTGTGAACAGGCAGGCTGTTTATACCTGCTGCACAGAAGCCAGCGACAGAGCTGTAGACCTCCTGTAGCAAGTTCGGTGAGTAAGCATGCTCTGAGGGTAACCACGTGGACCCGGTATCCATTGCTGATTAACACGAACTTTTTAAAATGGTCTAATTCCAGGAAGTCTGCAAGTGGGAAAACAAACAAAGGAACTTCTGAGACAAAGTTAAAAAGTGGAAATGAAAACTATGGCTACAGTTCAGATGAACCAAAGACCACACGTGAGTAGAAAGTGGGGTGGTAGAAAGATCTGGAAATGAGAATGTTGGAGAAGGGCTGGCTTCCTAGACACCAGCTGCCCAAGGATGATAACTTAGCCATTGGTGGTGATTATTTTTTGGATACTTTTTAGAAGAAGGAGAAATTCCAGAACTAGGAATATTCTAGGAGTATGTTAACAGTAAAAATACACTTTTTGTCTAAAGTGTAAAATAAAGTCAGGTGGAAACCTGAAAGTTTTAAAACATAATTGTCTGGTTTCCCCCAGCCCCATGCTTTCTCTTTCTTTAAAGGCTTCCACCTTAAAATATGTGGGAGGCATTTTAATGCATTGGGGGTCATTTCCTCCAAACTTTAACTAGATTCAAGTTAAACAGAAACCCAGCAAGAAATCTGTTCCTGCTCAACTAAACAGGGTGTCAGGGATGTTGGAAGTCTAGACCCACTTTTGAAGAGTCTTGCTGTGGAATCTCATTTTCCTGCCTTGAGACGATACAGTCACAGTGGGGTGGGGGTGTCTCTGACGGCAACGTCACTGTCACAAGGCAGCAGCAGCCTTTGGATTTCAAAGGCTGACGAGGGAGGAAGGCTGGACACCTTGCTCCTCCTTTCAAAAGGGAACCTGGCCCTAACAAGCTGCCTGGCAAAACAAATTCCATGGAAAGATTTGCAGCCAATCAACTGTTGCCCAGGGGCCTGAAAACGTCTTTTTCCACTAATCTTGGGAGTCTGTTCTCAGCAGCCCCGTTCCCTGGGTTACACCCCGGCTGCTTTCCACGTTATGCCAAATCATGTGCTTCAGATTTTTACACATTCCACAAAGCATGAGCTGTTTCCGTTGATAATCTGACCACAGCTTCTTGCAAAGTTTCCTGTGAGTGAATATTCGATAGTATTTTGAGCAATTAATCAAGTATCTTAACCAAAAAATCATGGCCCAAATCAAACCTCTCTGCCTTCCCCCCGCCCCCTTTGCCCAGTGTTTATTTTTCTTGGTCACCTGTTGAAGCCGTGGACTCTTCTCTTCTCTGGAGAAGACTGATGTGTCAAGGGAGGAATTGATTTTTAGTTAGTTTTCCATCTTTTCATTTAACTAAAAATAATGAAATTCTAAAAGTATGTAATCTCAAGGGAATTTTTTAAAAGGTCTATTTATGGTTAAGGATTATTTTATGCCAGGGGTGCTACGTAGAAACAAACATGTTTCTTTATAAATCAGGAGTGTTAGGCTATGTAGCTTGGCTTTTGTCACTTACGACACTAACGTCATTCTTCTATGGCAGAGATTGCTTCTCCCCGTCCCAAGGCCCGTGAAGTCAGCGTTCTGGAACGAAGTAGCAGTAGACATCCTTATCAGGTGAGTTAGACCATTTCCCCCCTCTTTTTGGAATTATTTGACCATTTACAAATCCTTACCTTGTGGTAGCTGATTATAAAATGGTTCACGTTGTATAGTCAGGATGGAAGAACGTTACCTTTCCTCACCTCCATGTCAACTGGTGGGCCTGAGAGGCGGAGAATCCCTTGCCCACTGTAGCGGGGGCTCCAAGACCAAGGCTGGGGCCGTTAACAGCTCTGGGTGCTTGTTTTGGGAGGATGTGGCTTGATTTGGGACATATTCCATCTGGGTCAGCCTAAGAGTGATCGGCACGTATAATGTACCATTTGTTCCCTTTGAGCCAAGTTCTCCCAGGACTCTGGTCAACTCTGCCCTCCTAGAGACCCAGCACCCACACAACGCGCTTCTATAGTTGGAAGGATGCTGGGTACTGGGTTTGAGGACCAGGACAGGGAAACGTGGTTTGCTCTCCATGTGAGATCTGTGCCAGTGAGCTCGAGAGCTGGAAAATCCCTGTCGGGGGTTAGAATTTTAGGGGAGCGAGGAAGAGTCCCTGATGATTAAGGAATGTGGCCAGAACCACCAGGAGGCTGGAGTTGCCACGAACTGAGATGGGAACGTTGTGGGAAGTGTGAGTTTCGGGGGAAACATCAGACATTTAATTTGGAGCTTGTAGACTTTGAGGTATCTGTTAGACGTTGACATGGAGACATCGAGTGTGCAGTAGGGTGCACACGTCTGGAGTTCCAGCAGGAGGCCCGAGCGGCAGACATTCTTGGTCGCTATGCAGTGTTTTCACGGCTGCTGTCCTCTCACAGGCCAGTTAAATGAAAGAGAGCAGTCAGCTGGGAGACCCTGAGGACATAGTGTGCGAATTTTCTGATACAGAGTCAGCACTGGTTATCATACGTGCATGCATTAGAGCTTGTATGCAGAAAATGAGATTTTTTTAATATCCAGAATTATATTATGTGAAATATGTATAATCAGCACCCTTTTCTGACCTGTACAAAAGCAACCTCAAGCAGGAAGTATTTCCATGTGGTTCTGTGGAGGTGTCCCCAGTAAATGTGGATGTTCTCCCCTTTTCGCTTTTGGAAGAGCGCAACTCGCAGACCGGATTTCTGACAGCACGCTGGACCAGGCGGTCTTGGGTTTGTTCTGCTGGGAGTCGCTCTACCCGGGGGGACAGTGCTCAGCATGCGCCTCTGCAACCCCTGACCATTCTTTCTTGGCGTAGACATTCACTCGTGTTTCCAGGAAGCTCCGGGCTGTAATATTCCTCCATGCAATTAGGAGTCGGCTCAACACATGCATCTTGCCAGGGACGTGTGCCTTTCGGGCCTGTCCGGAGGAAGGCGAGTGCTGACTGATGCTCGATCGTGTATGGGGAGGACCCACGTGATGCTATTAGTGGCAACACAGGCAGCCAGGCGGAAAGACCTACGAGGGGTCTGGGGCACAATAGAAGACGGGCCTCAGTGACAAATTGCTAGCTCCCAGTGTGAGCTCTGACTACCCTCCTCAGGCGGGGTGTCAGGAAAATGGAGAGGTCAGTCTCCTTCCATCACGGCTGCTCTCTTTGGAGCATGTATCTTTAATGCATCTAATTTGGCGCTGGGAGGGTTGACTCCGGGAATACAACAGGTTTCCTTTAGAGGACCAGTCTCTGGCTGAGCGGTGGTGGGTGAAAGGGAGGGATTGTCATGCTGGGAAGGATGTCATGCGTCGGGTCTCCCGTGGCTGGGCCTGGCAGGCCCATGTAGGGGCACGGTTGGCTGAGGGGCGCTCTCCCACACCGCTCCAAAGCTCCAAGCAGGGACACCCCAAGAACACATTTAAGCCAACTGCTATTTCCGTAGCCTTTCCGTGGTTACCGTTTGGTGTCAGATGTGTTTCCGCTGGACAAGCCAATGTGTTCAGGTCTGGGGTGGTGGGGAAAGGGGTAGACTGGGAGGAGATTCAGCACAAGGTCATGTCACATAATTCCCTTTGCGATACATCGAGTGTAAATGAGGAGAAGGGAACTCTAGATGCCTTTGGATACAGGGATGGAGAATGACGTTTCGGAACTCTGAGTGGATGCTTCTTAAAGCTTGTAGTGTTGTTTTGAAAATACACAGGGAGAGGAATTTAAGAGGTTTCTGCTACTGAAACATGTACCCAGCTAAATAATCTATTGGTGGAAAAAGAGCAGTGGCCGTGGGGATGCTGAGCCCCGGGGACTGGTAACACACACTGGTGTGCCCTGCGTGGCTGTAAGGCTTCTCGGGTGGCTGTGTATCTCGGCGGAGAGCATCACGGGCCTTAAGAAATCATTGAGGACTCCCGGAGGATGAATTGTCTCTGCCTGTGCTAGAAACTGCTGAGGGTCACTAAATAGCTTCTACTTACAGAGGGGGACCTTTAACACAAGCACCATTCTGGAGAAGTTGGCCTTTGATTATGACCCAAGGGGGTCTTTGCTGGCACGGGCCAGGCACTGTCTCCAGGTTGCCCATCTGGGGAGCCTGGACTCAGGATGTGTCTGGGGCTGTGCTTCTCGGGAGGCACCTAGAGGGGGAAGGAGCAAGATGGCTGTGGAGGAAGGTTTGGGCCCAGGAACCCAGCACCTCCCTTCCATGTCCTCAGCCCAGAGAGGACAGAGTCCGTTGTGTGGTCCCCTGACTGCCTGGGAGCTGCCAGAGTGGCCAGGCCACAGCTTGCAGAAGCAGGCCAGCCACCCGGTCTATGTCGCCACGTCTGTGCTGTGCAGGCCGATCCTTCCGCAGGACCCCTTAGTCCAAGGTGGAAGGACGGTGCAGTCGGTGCCTTCTCTTCTCGGGACCTCTCTCCATCCTGCACGGAGCCCTTCTCCCTAAAGGCCCAGGAGAGGCAGCTGAGAGCTGTTCTGAGCCACTTCTTGTCCGTCCCTTCATCCTTCTCTCCGCGTGCCTCAGTGTGACTCCAATTGGTCACCGAGACCCCCACGCCGCTGCCGGGTGTTCCCACACACATGCACCTCTCGGGCCCAGAGCCGGTGCCCAGCAGGACTCCTGCCGGAGAAGCTGGCGCATTAGAGTTCAGGGTGGTCAACTGCAGATTGCACTATTCTGTAGGAAACCCACATTAGGCTGTGGTCCTGCAACACCCGTCGATTAGATGGAAAGACCTCGAGCCGCGCATCAGCCCACAGCAAAGGCTGTCTCCTGTCCTGGTTGCTGTGGCGCTGGTTGGCCGGATGAATGGCCTATCCGTGGAGACACGGCGTGCGTCGTAGCAACTGGGGCTCCTGCTCTGTGTAATAGATCTCAGGGCAGGACGGCCTTGGCTTTGCAAGCAGTACGGCGACTGTCGAGCACGGGCACTTGCTCTCTGTGCGTGCTGGTATTCGCCTCTGCTGAACCTGGGATCTGTTTGCTCTCAGCATTTTCAGATGGTCTTAACTAATGGATGGGCTTTGACTGCACACAGTCTGGCACAGCCTTCCTAGGTGCCCAGCAAGCAGTTATTCATTAAAGTGGAGACTACCTTCCAAGCCCGGCATCATGCTGTCACAAGCCGGGCACTCTAAGGAGCGTGCTTGTAGACATAGTTCCTTTGCTGTCAATCACAACCCAGTTATGACAAAAAATATTATTAGACCACCACAGGTGAACATACAACCTAAAAATAACACTGTTTTGGGTCAGTGAAAAAAGTTAAATAATTTCATATCAAATTGCCATTTTACTCCTTCATGGTCTGGGGCACTTTGGTTTTCTTTAAGGGTCCACTGTTGAAATGCGCCCCAAGGCAGGGGAAGTCTGAAGTGTCAGGGGCTGCCCACAGGAGTCATCGGTGAGGCCTTTGGGGTGCCCGGATCTGTGGTTCTCACCCTCGGACATCTGGGCTCTCAAGGGCTGGGGAGGCGTCTGAGCTTCTCTGCTTTTTAGTGCAACTTTTTGATGCAGTTGTGACACGTGGCCGGGTTTACACCAGTGTTACTGGTTACCTCGCAGCAAGATGGGAATGGGGATTTCTGGGAAGGGAAGAGTGGCAGGGCCCCAGACACCAACTCACCTCCTTTGTGACTTCACCCTGCCTGACAGGCACTCAACGATTCCCACCAGCTTGGCGTCCCAAGGCACTCGTGATGAGCTGAGCTCGGCCAGGCAGGAGGGGCTCGTGCTGGACCCTACCAGGGGCTGATGGTGCCTGTGCTCTTGCCCCTCCGCCCGGGATCCTGTGGCCTCCTGCAGGCAGAGGGGAGTCCAGACACTGAGCCCGGGAGTCCGTGATGACACCCAGCTCAGGCTGTGCATCGTGGCGGGCAGCCTGCGTTTCTGGGTTCCTCGTGCCCCCACCTTCAGAGCCACACCCTCTAGTCCGTGGTCCCCGAGTTCTGCACACGGTTGTCTACATCTCGAGGCTGCTGAGAGCCCCTGCACGCCACGTCTTTATCATGAATCGCCCAGCACAATTTTAGTTACATCCAACCATTACTAAAACAGGAAACTAGAATTTTATTTATTTATTTTTTTGAGACAGAGTCTCACTCTGTTGTCCACAGTGGAGTAACTGGGACTACAGGCACACACCACCATGCCTGCTAATTTTTTTAAAAAAAATTTTGTAGAAACGGGGTCTCACTATGTTGTCGAGGCTGGTCTTGAACTCCTGGCCTCAATTGATCCTCCTGTCTTGGCCTCCCAAAGTGCTGCTGGGATTACAGACGTGAGCCACTGTACCTGGCCTGGAAACTAGAATTGTAATATTTTAGGAAGGGGTAGAAAACTTCACTTGCTGCTGCACCAGCCTCCCGTGACTCTTGCCCCTTTGCGTCCTTTTGGTTAAGGTGCAGAACGCCATGGAGGAAGCAAGGAGAGACGTGGGGGCGAAACGCTTTGTTGTGTCCTGCTGCTTCTGTGCCGGCCATCCTTGGGGAACTTCAGAAGGGTGGGGCTTGTCACAGGGCAGTGTCACAGGACGGACTGTGGGTTGGAGTTTTGCCCACAGAAGACCAGCCACTGTGGCTAGGAGCTATGTGGACGATGGCTGGCGTAGGTCAGGTCCACCGGGTGACGCTGGGGTGCAGACAGTGGGGAGAGGCACCAGTTCCCAAGCACTTGGACCCCTGCGTGGCCTGGATCCCCCTCTCCTGGTCACCCCACCTCCCAGCCCCCTCCCCTGCCAGGTTCTTCCCTGAACATGGGACTTTCTGCTCCAGAAATGAGGTCAGTCCTTGTTCCTGCCACCCCCTGGCAGAGACGGCAGATGTGTTTCTTGAATCCTGGATCCTGGTTTTCCCCAGGAATGCTTGCCGAACATGGAGATGCCCTTAGTACCTATAAATACCTGTACCTTGGGACCCTGCCAGCTTAGCGGACGTTCTCAACATAGCATACACCAGAAGCACACTGGGCACGTGTTAAAATGCACACTCTTGGGCCTCTTCCAGACTTTCTGGATCAGAATCCCTGGGAGATAGGGCCAAAGAATTGGTATTTTTACCACGTTCTTCAGGTGACCTGCTTTGGGGAAAATGTTTCTGTGGCCCAGTATGAAAACACAACAGACGTAGATAGCGTTGTTTCTAAGGGAGAATATTTTCTGAGTTCTAGACATTTTCTTACAACTGTGCATTTGAAATTACTTTTGCCTCATATCCCTGCCACACTGACCTTGCTGCAAAGCACAGGGAAGAGTTTGAGATGCTTATGGTGCTGTGATCAATGCTAAATGAAAGGTCTTGACGCTACATACTCCTCCGTCCACGTGGCACCACACTGGGGCACGCTTTTTAAACCTCCTGTATTTTAGATGGGTCCTAAAGCACATGGCATTCGATATGGATGAAAGAAATAGGATTTTAGGCCACAGAGACCCCAGGTTATGCGTTAAATAGTACGAAGAATCAGAAGGAAAAAGAGAGATGGGTTTTCCATATACAAAAATATGACATTTTTCTTCTCTGATCATTTCCACTGTGATGGAATCTAGACTTAGGATATATAATACTGACATTATTTTGTAGACAAGGGTTTCTGTTGGTGAAATAGAGTTAACTCAGGTGTGATGGCAGCTAAAACACGTTAGGACAAAACTAATAAAATTAGAAATTCTTACTAAAAATTATAATCAGTTAATGGGAAAGGCAAGCTTTTTTAATTTTTATATGAAGCCGTGAGGTTAGCAAATGTTTTGTGTCTTGATGAATATTTAAAACAAATAATCCTCCTTCTCCTCTCCTCTTCCCATGCCCAAACTCACCATCAGTCCATTTTTCTGGTTGTTCTAGGAACCTCTGTCTCTATCAGTTTTGCAAGGTGAGCATATGAACAACCTGAACCCTGGATCGAGCCTGCCCCACTAATCAATCCCCCATTGAGATAAACAGAAACACACTCTTGATAAATTTAGAAAACAGCAGGACAGTTGTGCAACCCAGCAGTGGAAACAAAAGCGAACAACAGTAGCGGTCTCGAGTGTATTCGCAGCGGAAGGCACAGCCCGTTGCTAAAATAGTTCCATCAGCCGCCAGTCTTCCTTGTGTTGTTGGGAGTCGATAAATTAAAACCATGAGCCGGAGCGATTCTATGCTCAAGACTTACTAGCATTCTGCTGCCATGTGAATAATTTATCATGCCCAGTTGCATTATTTAAGATGTTAAATGCGGCTACTGTGCCTTGGAATCTGAGCTGGCCTTCTCAGGACTGGCAGGAAAAACCCGGTGCACACATTTTAAGAGGGCAATATTATTCGACAGGCATTGGCCGCTCTGGAGGATTATGTGATTTGTTTGGGATTACCTCTCTGAACAACAGCGCAGAGACCATGCTCCTTCGTGATGGGGCAAGCAGCAGGCACTGCTGGAAGAGACAGATGGGCGATCCATTTGGAGTCGATTCTTTAATTTTGCCCCCCTCCTCTAGAAGGAATATATGTTATTTTAAAAAGTTTAGAAATATTTATTTTCATTAAAATGCAAGAACTTCCATAGGAAACTTGAAAAACAAAACAAAACAGTGAATCTTTACAGCAATTTGTCTTCATAAAAACAAATATGAGATTCTTTGACTTGGATTGTTCTGTAGGCAACGAATTTGGAAAACTTCTGGAGTGTGTGTTATCGGAAATAAATAAAGAAAGGACATGTTTTTAACATTTTTGCTCCTCTCTGCCCCTTAATGTTATCTTAACTCATGTTAATTTTATCTTAACTCATGAGCGAAGTTTCCTTCTCAAGCGTGCATTTGACAGTGATCTTAACCAACTAAATTGACCTTTTCCCCTTTGTTACCAGGAACCTAATACTCATCGGTCCAGCCCAGCCAGTCGTCCACAGGTTTCTTTTAATAATCTGGCCAGTCCCAGGAAGGTCAGGAATGCAACTCTGGTATAGCAGAGACTTCCAATGGGCTCCATTTTGCACTTGGCTGACGATTTACAACATGCAATGCTATCATTCCTCTGCGTCCTGACACCGGGCTCCAGCTTTGCCAATGTTTCCTGAAGAGGTGATGTCGCAGTCGTTGGAACTGATATTTTATAGAGAGAGAAGGAATTGATTTTCCCAGATTTCAAAGTAGAATTTGACTTTTAAAATGTTTCCAGGTTTTAGTGAATTTCACAAAGTTGCTAAGTAAAAGCTACAAATTTGTCATGGTGGTGTTTCTCAGCACTCAACACTCCCGCTTGCTGGTCCAGTAAATGGTGGGTAAGTCTATGATCTACCATGACTTTTAAAATGTTTCTATTACCTTAAATCATACTAAGATGCTATTTATGTATGTTTCACATGTAGTGGCATTATTGCATATTATCAGTGAAATAAGAGGATGAAACTTAGGGTCAATCAGAAATCTAAAATCGACTGGCAAATCAGAGCCCCACAGGTTAAAGATAAGATTCAATTTGAACACTGGTGCACACGGACCTAAATGCCTCATGATTGAGTATTTACGTGAAGACATTCACTTTCATCTGCCTCCATGTCAGCTTGTTCTCATCTCCTCAAACGAATGAAATGTGTATCATGCTTTGTAGGGGATGTACCTCTCACAGCACAAACACCACGAAAAAACTGGAGACAGACAATGTATTCTTTAATAAAGAAAAAAGAAAACACCAAAAAATGGGTATTGTCTTTCTTAACTCTTTACTATTCAGGTGGCAGTTGAAAGAATCCAGTACTTTCCAAGAAGGACAATGGGAGACTTCGCTAAAGCACCCTCCCATCTCTACGTATGTCTTTGCCTCCTGTGCGTTTGCCCCGATTAAAGTTAATGTGTACGTTACGAAGAATAAAATCACTGCCTTTTCCAAATGGTTTTCTTTCCTCGTGTGGATACACTCCGTGAATTTCCCTGCCCGCCCCACCCTTTCATATCGAACTAGAGGCAGGACTGACTGTGATTTGGCTGAGCTCTGAACTGGTTGGTGCAGATTTCTCTGCTGATTAGTAATTAGCAACTGCTTTGTGTCCTTCATGCCCAGCCATGCTATTGCTAAAGTAGCATGTGACTTTTAAAAATGTGTCAGGATTTTAGTGAATTCTTTAAAATTACTGAATAAAAGCTGCAAATTCATTGCGATGATGTTTCTCATCATTCAGCTCTCCTGCTTGCTAATTAATCCAACACATGACAGACAAGTCCTATATTACCATGATTTATAAAGTACTTTTATGATCTTAAATCACATCCAGCCCCTACCCTGGACCTCTTCCTATGAATCAGCAACTAACTCAAGGAGTGTATTCTGGTGCAGCATGGGGCTGTGGTGGGCGTCTCTTTTGATTGGCTGATGCTCGGCTAGTATCCATTCTGATTGGTTGATGCACATACAGTATCTGTTCTGATTGAGTGGTGTTCATGCCTTACTGGTTTTCAAATATTTTAAATATCACCACTGCTTAGGGATCTGAAAAAAAATGTTAACTCTTCTTGGACTGTGTCCCTAATGTGAGAGAATTGGCTGCCTATTTTCTTGAGAGTAGAACTGCAATGAAAAATCTCAAAAAGCCATAAATATTGCTATCTCACTGTCCTAAGAGTCCTTTCTATGGAAAAAATTACCAATTCAACTGCATAAAAATGAGACTTTTGCTTATTATACTAATTTCTTTATTCCCTGCCAATATGGTTCTGTCTCCCCACCACCATCCTTTAACAGGTACAAGGAGAAGAGAAAGACAAGAAGGTTGGTGAGTCCCTTGAGGCAGAGCTAATGCATAAGCTCCACACTCTTAATAGTTTATTCTCCTTAAACCACCATAGAATCCAGATCTGAAGACAAGGCAAATGTCATGTCATTTATACCTTTTGTAACCTATGCAGCACCTACTGTACTGCAAGTGTTCAGTAAATATTCACATCAAACAGGTCAATATTGAGAAAGGCAGTATATTGGATAGAATGAATATTTGCTATTAGCCTGCTATAAGAATCATATTTTTGTGGTAACTTTAGGAGTTAAAGGGGTTGCACATAGAATATAATTGAAATTTAAGTTTTGAACTCTGGGAAACAATGGTAAATGATTTCCGTAGAAGTTTCTCCAACTTAGTTGAATCACCCTCAAAATATTTTTTCATTTATCAGACTATGGGAAGTTTTGTGATGTCACTTAAGAACAAGTTCTTCTTACTCTATCTAAATCCAGGAGTAAGGTTTCTTGAAGGGATCCCCTGGCCAGTTTTTATTTCAAAAGAGGTAGGTATGCTATTTGAACAGAACTATCTAGAGCTGCACTATCCTATACTGTAGCCACATGGGGCTATTTAAATTTAAGTTAGTTCAACTAAATAAAATATAGGATTCGTTTCCTCAGTTGCACTGGCCACATTTCAAGTGTTCAGGAAGCCACACGTGGCCAGTGGCTACTGAATGGGACAATGCAGATGACAGGCTTCCATTGTTGCTGGAGTTCTTCAGGACTTCTAGAATGCTGATCTAGAGGCAGCTACTTGGAAATGACCTTGATGAGTCAAGGATGGGCTCTTTTACGCAAACACACAATCCGTGTTTTTTTCAGCATTTTATCTGTGCACTCAGCCAGTTTCTATTTAAGAGTCCTGCAAGGACTCTTAACCCCCAAGGCAGCTCTCAACTGAAAATGGTGTTTCGCTGATGTGGAAAATTCTTCTCTCACTTCTGCAATGCGGAGAGCTGAGGCAGGCTCAGGGGTGATGGGAGAGGAGCCAGTCATAGCAAAACATCATGGTCAAGGTTGTCTGTGAAACAACAGAATGGTAAATGCAGCTCTCTGCTAACGAATGGCTGATCAGGCCACAAATGTATTTAAACAAATACCCCTCAAAGCTCTGTGTCCTAAAATCCTAGCCAGGAAAACCACACGTGCCCTCCTGGGGTCATTGACCTTGGTTCGTCTGTCAGATTCCAAGCCTGTCCCATGAAGTCAAGGATCTTCCATTATTTACTTAGGGTAGGACTCAAGTGGTAATGGCAACACCTTGAAGGCAACATGTGAGCTCGAATAGAAGCACTTCCTTTGCTCTGTGTGATCCTGGTCTTGGAAAACTGTCAGAGGCATTTATAAAGTCTGATTGTACATTCCTAGGAGTCTGATGATACAAGAGGTCAGATGCCTCAGAACAAACATGAGATACTGTGCCAACGTCCACACCCCGCCATTGAAGTGCTCACGATGTCTTTGGGGAAGGACACTTCATCCTGTGTAAAGATGGAGAATGGTCCTCCCTGGGGGACAGAGGGGAACTGGAAGAGTTCAGAGATGAGAGAGTTGGATGAGAGCAGGACAGGAAGCATGGGTCCAGGTAAAGGCAGAATGGGATGAGGGTCTTTGTAGCTGGGTGGTCCTGCAGGTCTGGAGCAGGTCCCGTAGGCCTGGGGAGCTGTTACCGTCCATCAGATCTGCAGGGCAGCGAGGGGCTGGTGGACCTGTATAGAGGATGGACCTGTAAGGCCACTGCAGTGGCCTTGGGTTGAGGGACACGGCCAAGACATGGACACCCTGCAGGGAGGGGGTAAGAGCGACAAGACTCCAGCCACCCACTGCTCCTGCCTCCCCTCGACCACACCGACCAGAGGACAGAGGTCCTGGGAGCCCTTTGATGTGGCAGGTACGAGTCAGTCCCCTGGGAGGGCTGAGCTGGAGGGACAAGGTGGAGAGTGGATGTGGGCGGGCAGAACATTTAGGAAGGAGAAGTTGACGAATGAGGCATGTGCTTACGAAGTCAGGAGGAGAGACGTTTGCCTTTTGGCCTCCACCTCTCCCTTTCCTTAAGGACGAGGCCATGTATGGAGAGAGGTGGAGGGGCCAAGCCTTGGGCCCCTGCAGGTTTGCTGAAAATCACCGACAAGATGCAGATTAATGGGATAAAAGGCATACACATTTATTTAACGTGTATACACAAGAGGCTTCAGAACGAAGACCCAAGGATACAGGGGAAATTGTCCGTTTTCATGCTTAGGTTTAACAAAGTAGAGACAGTTATTAGAGATATGATTGGACAAAAAGGGGACGATCTGATGCTGGTAGACTGAGTGGGGAAACCTCACTGTGGGGGTTCGCGTCCCTCTCTGCCCGCTGGGCCCTCACTTCCTGTCCTGCCCTCGCCTGGTTCCCACATCTCAGAAATCTTCAAGTTCTTCAATTCCACGGCCTGTGGGAGAGTCAGGTTTCTTCTCGGCCTCTCTGAGCGGCATCCTTCCTTCTGGGTGTGGGCAGGGCCCTGTCTGGAGTGGGGGGTTATGACCTACAGTCCAATAAGGTCAGACAATTTCTTTATGGCCGGTTTTTACATAGTATATTTTTAGGTTTTACGGCCGGCTTTGGAAAATAAGGGTTCTGGTTTCTAGGACTTGCCTTGGGGAAGAGGGAGGCTAGTTTCCGTGGCCAGCTTCGAGGGAGAGTAGGCCTGAGAGACAGGGAGGCAGGAGAAGGTCAGAGAAACTTTGCTTCTGAGGCCTTCATGTCGGGGTGCTGTTTCCTGAGTCCTAACGGGGCAGCATAGGGAGGAAAGGAGTGGGGTGCGTTGAACTCGAGTAGCTCACATCTTTGGTGCCCAGTTCCACATCGGTGCAACAGGGGGTAGGAGGATGGACCCCTGAAGTCCCTTCTGGCACTTACCTTCTCACGCACACTCATGCTCACGCACACCCCCTCCTCACCGGCGTGGCTCAGCTGTCAGGACGGAGGCTGTTCTGTCTGAGCGCGGGCGGGCGTTTTTGCGGATGGGAAATATGTAATTCTCACCTCGCACGGGCTGTGAGTCATGCCACGGGCAGCGACCGCGGGGGACTCACTCTCCCTTGTCCACGAGGTAGGTGCTCCGACCTCGCGGCCCACACCGTGACAACGACAGCGTGAGGTGGCGGCCGGGTCCCCAGCTGAAAGCAGCCCCGTCCTCGTCTTCCCTCTTCCCTTGGGGGAGCCCTGTCTTTTCTGGAAACACAGCGGGACTCGGAACCTGCCGACCGGAGGGCAGGTTTGTGGGAGTCGCTGCCCGGTCTGTGGCGTCCGAGGGAGACGGTCGTGCCCTGCCTCGTAACAACGCCGCGTTGACACAGCACAGAATCGATAAGCTTCCTGCAAACTCACGGGGAAATGCGGCGCAGGATGTATTGATTACATTTCTCTTCAGAAACATTAAGAACGTGTGATATTTCACAGGGTAATGTAATTTGGGAACAGCTGGTAAAATGAAGCTTCAATTGCGTGGATAATAAAGTCTGAGGAAGTTCAAATAACAGCGAATTATTTTCTAAATCAAAAACTAATTTTAAAAATTGGAGTTGATGGAGATTTTTTTCTCAGAAAGTGCAAATGGGCCTGGGTAAGGGGAAAGGTGGTCCGGCCAAAGGGTCCGTCACGGCAGTGGCAGGTGATGGAAGGACATGCCCACCCCTTCCTCCTCACAGCTGGCGTGGCGTGTGTGTGTGTGTGTGTGTGTGTATGCATGTGTGTATACACACGGTATGTGTGTATATATGGTGTGTATGTTTGTTCCTGTGTCTGTATGTTTGTGCATATATGGCATGTGCATGTGTGTGCATGTGTGTTCACACGTGTGTGTGAAGGGCAAGGGAAGTGGGGAGACACTTGTTTTGTGTCTACTACATGGGTCAGCAAACTACAG